TTAAGGACGGGATGCTCGGTGTGAATCACTTTCACTGCGACAGCTCTTCCCCCCACATAGGAAACCGCAGCAACGCGGGACGGCTCGAGTCACAACTGAACCTGAGCCCGCCCAAGGCTAGCCGTGTTCTGTCCTAGTCTTTCCCCTGTGCCGGCGGAACGAAATGGATAGGAGAAGGCGTTCCCTGGATGAACGCGGATTAACCGACCGCGTCGCGTCGGGAGGGAGAGACGATCCGTCTGTCGCGGGCGTGTATGAATGTAGGGTACGTATTCAGTAGGATTGTGTGTAGGGGTCGTGTAAGTGACCGATACCTAGCTAGTAGCCTTATCACTCCAGGGGAATAAGGAAGGGGGAATTCCACGGGGTCTGGCTCCTTTAGGAGGAGGCTGTTGTGTCTTTCTTTTTCCCGTGCCTGCGCCGCTGCCTGAGATCTCAGGAACCCTCACGTGTCGGATGATCAGGTGGTTTGGAAGATATACTTTCTTCATCACTTCCTTGGATTTCATTTCCGACCATCACATCACACTGATCGTCCTCCTTGCTCGATCTTGCTATTCGCTTCCTGTATCTACTCATCTTGCCATCCACGAACGAGCAATGTGCCACGGCTGACTCTTCCTCCTGCCTGACTGCACATCCGCCAATAATCCCTTTACCCTCCCGCCCCATCGGCCCACAGTCGAGCACATCTGGATCTTCGGTCGCTAATGGAGACGTGAAACAGAGCGAGATGCTATTCCCATGGTACGCTGTACTCGCTCCTCAGTTTGCGGAGTATCGGCCATCTATTTGAGAACCCGTGGAACCGCCCTGCCGACAGAGCATTAACTGGATCAATCTGATCGAGTCGCAAATGTGGAGCCCTCTTTCCGATAGTCGAGATCGAGTGCGCGCATCTGGTCTATGTGACTGCTCGTGGCTTGGAGCACACACCAGCCGTCACTTTGACAGGATCTGGCTCCTCGTGCGTCTAGATCGACGGCCATTGTATCCTGGCTCAATGTGCATGACAGCGCACGCTCGACTGGCTGATCTGATCCACAATGGCTCCTACACTGACATTTCCGGCGACAGCATATCGAGCACGGAGTAGATAGATCAACTTCATGCTCTCTGACACTAGGATGGCCAAGTCGCCGACAACACACAGCAGACTAAGTGGATCCTCATCGCCAATGATGCCTCTTCAGACCAAAGAGCGAATTAGCGGTATATCCTTCCAGCCATTGCCCCGTGCCTCTCCACTCATGGACTCAATGCCTTGATTTCACACGAGCGCACGGCCATCCGGAGAACCAGAATTAGCATCATACAATCCCTCAAGCTCAACAAAGTACGTTCTATCTTGCTTTTTGGAAATGGAACGCTTCGTGCATTACCGCTCGCCCGCGCGATTAAATTCTTCAGGACCTGCATGTAGCCTGGATCCAACTAGTAGGTAGCTATCTGTTTTCTTCTGTCGTGGCGTCCGGACTACTTGGTGGATGCGTCGTCTAGTCTCACAGTGAGGCAGGATTTTCAGATGCGTGCATGATATAGCGGGTGGAGGCGCCAGGTTGCCTAGACAGGCGGTTCAGCTCCGGGATCAGCGTGCGATCCATTTTCTTTTTCCTCTTTCGTGAGGGACTAACCGATTGGTAGCTGTCAGTTTGCTCTAGCCAGTGCCGGTCGCACTAGCTTCATTCACCGAGCCACGGTGATCCATTGCTCGATCATATCAGCGTGTGTACGGAGTAATTGAAGTTGAGCATGGAACACTTCGTCTCTAGTAAGGGTCGCTTTGACATAACAATCTATAGGAATTAAATTAGACCTTCGGGAGGTCGGGAAGCCAAGCACGAGCTATATATTCCCGACGGCTTATGCCTAAGCTACATACTCCAACTATCCGACCTCCAGGTCTTCTCCGCAATGGGCTAAAGGTTAGTGTCAGCCTTTGCGGGTGAGATGATTGCGACTGGGAATGTAAGACCGCAATGTTACGCCGCAGGATAGCCCGAAGAAGAAACTAATGTGCGCTGAAGAATAACCCCTCTGCCGCCACTGCCACGCCAGCCGTGTCCCTTGAAACCAGAGAAGGGCAAATGTCCGCCGACTATTGATAGGCCCAGAAGAAGAAATACCGACGGAGAGACGCCGCATGTCGGTATGTGAAGTAGGTCGGTGCCTTCTGTCGGGGACCAACTTACCCAATCTAGCAACACTATCGGGGGTCCCTAGGAAGAATTTGCAGATTAGACCCATGCTAGAACAACAGCTACTGCAGTAGGTGCATACCGGCAAACAACATCAAAAAAAGCACGAGCCATTCAGGATGCCTCGCTCACTTCCCAACACGGATAAGCAGCCTAGTGCCATGCACGCTAACCAAACCATGCAGCTTTACTCGTGGGAATATTTTCGCCCCGGCAGCCAATGATCGCTTCGACGCGCACGTTCTTCTGCCCTTTCACGTGCGGTGTGACTTGACTGCATTGTCACATCGGGTACTTTCTATTTTGGCAACCAGTCGTGTTGCTGCGGGATGAAAGTACCCCCAGGTACCTTGTACATGAGGCTGGCATATGTCAATGCTTGTCAGGGCCTAGGCTACTTGTCCATTGTTTGTCCTCGGGCTGAAGAACCCTCTGGCTCGTTCCGACAGGGCTTCATTGTTTGCTCTCTGCATGAAGAAGGGCTATTCACCGCTGTCTGGACCTTTGATCTCCGTATTCAATAATGCTGCCACATTATTGCTTGTGATCGGGCAGATGTGACGCGTCGCGCAGCCAATACCTCGGATGGTTAAATGTCTGCGTGCATGCCTCAATATAGAACAATTATTGCAAGCATATCATTCTGCTAAGGACGCGACTGCGGACCTGCATGGTTATGGACAATATTATGTACCACTATAGAAAGTTACTAACTGCGGCCCAAATCCTCCACAGACGACAATATATATCGGAAGCTGGTAGTGAAAGGCACAAATTTACATGTATATTTTCGCATCGCACTTTGCCACTAGAGTATATGCGTATAGTAGATATCCACTTACTATTCAAACAATAGAGCACTGCCACCCTTTGAACTTAAATATATGATATTGATACTACTTGATCCACCTACAGACTGGCAGCAAACATGCGAAAACATCGCTCTATCAGCATCCACCAACTTATAGTGACAAGAACTAGTAAAGCCTTATGCATCTTCTTCGCGTAATAAGCTCTTCTGGGATCGTGATTGCTAGATTTGGTCTGTATTCCAGTCGGGTCAAGAAAGTATAGATTTTATGTAGTGGTGGTAGATTCGATTCATAGTATGTATAGTTCAGTCCAAGTAGCTAAGTAACGCTTTCTCTTCTTGGATATATATCTATATGTTATATCATCTTCATACATAGGAATACAAGATCTCGATCTCTACTTACACACTCTCTAATCCATACGGACTGGGTCTTTCAGGTAGAGATATATTTCTAGATGAAAAGCTCGCAATGCTCGTAATCACCTTATATATATATATATCTAATATAGAGGACTCTGGAGATTTTATCTGAGTAGAATTTGACAACAATATATCCATATCTTTCCAGTTTACTGTCCATATTCTGTATATCTTCGAATCTTTATTACAGCATACGATATAAAAGCTGTAGAACTCCAACGCATATATTATGGATTTCTAGAATCTGACAAGGTCGCCTCTAGCCAAAATGTCTTTGGAAGCACCAGGCGATTACCACTAGACCACCCGGCCACCAAATATAGACTGAAAGTAACCCTATCTATGATAGCTAGTCTACTCCATTTCACTGTCATAGCTTCTACTATCTTAGGATATTCATATAATACCAACATTATCTACCTTGTAGTCTCAGTATCTAGTGAAGTATCTGGGGATTTTTGGCTGCCGGAGATTCCCACCTACGTTCGATCGAAGCATCCCACACTAAGGAATCTACTACGTTGATGTGATTATAGGAAGGCCTATCTATCCTGTTATTTAGCTAGTAAGGTCACATGCCTAATTATGTCATTGTTTCTACGAACCCATTGAATGAGCTTGAGAAAGAGGAGCATTTGGAATCCACTGTTCGCATGCACGTATAGTTTGCTAGTGCTGTGTGGAACGCACTGATATATATACAGGAAATTCTCTCCATCGTCTATTCGGAATTAGGGGATGGTGGCTCGCAGATAACTGGTCTGCCAGTTGTGGCGCTTGTTTATATCGTTGCGTTGTTGGAGGATTTTGCTTGGCTTTCGTGGTTTCATGAGACAAAGGGATCTAAAGCTGTCCAGCTCCATATTCTCTGTTTTAAACAGTGAAACACCTGAGCTGCTAGCATCTATATCTAGCATGCTCGATCAGGTACAGGGTTATGAATTGAAATGAGGTGAGTTGGACCAGTTATATATATCATTAGTATCATCATGACAAATACATCAAAGACAAATGAACAACATCTATGTCTCTAACGCTGACTATAACGAGCAGGTTGAAATGAACAGAATATTCGGCCCATGAGCAATTGGCAAGGTAAATGCTCAGTAAATTTCAACTAAGTGGTACTTAGTTGAGGGTAAGAGCATACTTAATACATAGGTGAATCAATTCACGAATATGTTTGTTTTGTTCTATGTTGGAATATACCCCTCTGCATGCTCCCCATATAGACACCGTAGATCGTTTTAGGTCTGCTGGCTAGCGCGTCAGCATTTTATAATACTCTTATTGTTACAAATGAGTCTATGTTATTTATCGCAGCACTCCATTATGAGGATAAAAAGAAAGAAAAAGCAAAACTGAGAGGTGGACCACGTGAGCCAATGAGGATAAAATCTGTGCCGCTCAGCTGGAGGCTACTAGCACTTAGTATATGCAAGCCAGGTGGTCGCGACAGACACCTCAGGCGGGGCTGATTGCCAGCCTCGTTCCTTCCAATCCACCCATCTCAACCCGAACGAATTCGACTCTCGACGAGACAACAACAGCCCAAAGGGTTTCTCAGAATGTTTCTGAGACTCTGTGCTAAACTCAACTTCTCAAAGAGAGATCGGCATGGCTGTGAGAAGGACGAGGAACAGCTCGGTTTATCTCCGAGCACGAAAGACCACGATCGCGTCGTAGCAAATGACGATGTAGGTGTGTCCTCCACCTCAGAGGCAGAGCTTATTCACACCAGAAGAGAAAGTCTCCCGGAAGTGGCCGGAGAGAAGCCAGACAAGAAAGACCGGAAGACCCTGCATGACCGTGAGAAGCATGACGAACAGCCTGGCACATCTCCGAGAACAGGAGACGTTTGCGTCGTAGCAAATGACGATGTTACTCCCCAAAGAGCAAATCTCTGGGAAGTTGCTGGTGGAAAGCTAGACGAGAATGACCGGAAGGCTCTGGGTTTGGAGCGTCCCCTCCTTATCACGGATGTCATCAAAGATGTGATCAAGTCCACTGAAGATAAATACCGTGAGTACCAGGAAGGCGGGCTCAAGATTCGCAAGCGCGATGGTGGGCATATCAACGTCCGCGATTCCGCGAAAAACATTATTCTCCATGCATTGCAGGCGCAGGATCTTGTCACCAAATTGGTCTCCTTTGATCCGACTGGTCATGGTAAGTTACTACACATTGACCTTTACAAGGTCTTAGAATGCATGCATAGATGTTGACAGTGAGGCCCAGCATCAAGTGCATGGTCAGTTGTTTCAATCGGGCTTTCAATAATAAAAAACGACATTGAACGCCGGGATGAGATTCTCCACGCAGCCGAGTATCTAGCCGACCTTCTTTCCTACTATGCGATCGTTGACAATCATTATCGAGAAAGGAAAGTGGAAAGCGATCGAGAATTGGAAGACGCTCTGGTTGAAGTCTACATTGCCGTTCTTCAGTACGCGGCAGAGGTGAAAAAGGCAGAACAAGAAAGAAACGCGGGTATGTGATTTTATCTTGAGGATGTCCTTCAGATGGTGCTATAGACTGATATTATGAAAGCTCGCATATTGAAAAGCGTCACGGCCCTTGTCCAACAGCCGTTCAAGGAACTCAAGAGAACTGTCGAGAAGAAAGAGCAGGCTGTTCAGAAGTGGGCAAATCTTACGGAAGCTCTAGGTACTACCACCTTCTGTTTGCCAAGGTCAACCAACATGTACCCTCGCTCATTCTTATAGACCACAAAAGACAAGTAGAAAGCATGCTCGAAGAAATTGACGAGGCGGTTGGAAGGCTGAAGATTATCCAATCGCACACTAGGAGTAAGGGACCCTCAAGGCATCGATCTTTTGAGAAGAACGTACACTAATATCAGCAGGCTTGCAAGACCGTGAGATTCTCAACTGGTTATCCACGGCATCCTATTCAGATCCCCAAAATAACACTCAAGGCCACCGCGCATCAAACACGGGGAACTGGTTTCTCAACTTGCCCGAGTATAAAGAGTGGAAGATCACACCTGGAAAGATCTGTTGGCTTTATGGAGCAGGTGCGTGCCCCTAACTATTACAAGAGGAATTAATCCTGATATCTTGCGAAAGTCGGCTGCGGAAAATCGGTTCTTTGTTCTACAGTTATCCAGGATATCGAGGAATTCTGCGAATCTGATCCATCAAGAAAATTTGCCTACTGGTACTTTCAGTTCAGCAATGACGAAACACAGAAGGTGTACAACATGATTCGGTCCATACTGCGACAACTCATGCCACGAACACTTCCTTCATCTATAATAAATCTCTGGGAAGAACATAGCCCTCGGGGCAGTAAGCCACAACAGCAAAAATTCGCAGATATTCTGGACGTCGTCTTGGAATCTTCCCAGGGCGAGGTTTTCCTCATCTTAGATGCACTTGATGAGTGTCCAGCGACTGGAGACGACGGAAGAAGCTCGCTTTTGCAGTTTATTGTAGAACTGCTTGGAAAACATCAAAGCAAAATGCACATTCTCGCCACTAGTCGACCAGAGCCTGATATACGATCAAGACTAGAACTATACCAAAGCGTGGATCTGGAGACTGGATTGGGGCAAGATGTGGAAACTTTCGTCCGTGATCAAGTTGCTCATGGCAGGTTGCGTGAATGGGGCGAGTCGGTCAAAAAGAGGACTCTAGAGAAATTGCTTGATATCCCGGAACGGTATGTTGCATTGATCCATGGATATGTATAGTCTGATTGATACATGTGATTGAGCAGGCGCTTTCGCTGGGCTGATCTGCAAATAAAGCGGCTACAAGGGTCCAAAACTGAGGCTGCATTTCACAAAACTCTTGATTCCATTCCAGTCACACTCGAGGATACCTATAAAGATACCCTTGAACGGCTGTCGCCAGAGGATCGGGAGGCGGCTCGCACGATATTGATTTGGCTCAGCTTTTCTGCCGCCCCGCTGGATTTGAAGACTGTCGCGGCTGTTGTGTCTTTTCGTTTTCCGGAAGATGTTGTAACAACCTGCACTACTTCTCTAGTCACTGTGAGCATGTCTGATAATACTGTGAGACTCGCTCATTTCTCCGTGAAGGAGTTCTTAGTCCGCAACGAAGCCATGGCTCACTGGTTTCAATTCTCGGTTATATCTGGCCATGATGCCATAACTAACAGATCGGTTGACTGTCTGCTTGAGAGTACCGAAATCCTAACCAAGACCGCTGCTGTGCAACAACCACTACTGACATACGCCGCACAATACTGGGACTATCACTTGGCACAATCAGGAGGTCTCCACACCTGTTGTATTGATCTCCAGGAGAAGGTTGACCGCCTGTTCATCGAACGCAATGTCTATACCAACTGGGTGCGCTCGTATTATTATTCTAGGTATTATGATATGTGGCATCGATCTTTCGAGGACCTGCAATCGCCTCTGAGCTCTGCATCAGAAAGAGGACTGAAATCAACGGTTGATTTATTGCTTGCAAAAGGTGCCGATCCTATGGTGTCATCTCTTGCTGAACGAGACAATGCATTGCTAAAAGCCGCGGAGCAAGGTCACCTGGAGGTCCTACAGTTGTTGTTGAATAGGGTGGATGAGATACCGCGAAGAGTGACTAAGTGCATGCTGAGTATTATTCACGCCGCCGAGTCCGACAAAGAGAAGCTATCAATGATTTTGGACCTGCTTTGGGGCAAGGGTGTTTTGCATGATCGATCAAGAGTACGCCGTATGGTCGTTGATGGGGAACTTGTTGAAGCAGCAGCTGCGAATGACGAGTCGGGCCATATGCTAATTAGTTGGCTCTTAGATCGAAAAGAGAAAATGGGTGTCAGGATAACTGAGAGGTTAATTGTAGCTGCGCTGGAAAATCAAAGTCGCGGCGAAGAAATCATACACTTGCTTCTAAATAAGTGTGATGCGGATTTGAAGCGTATTCCATCATTGATGCGGGTGTTTTTTGCCTCATGGAATATTGATGCCATGAGTGCCGTCCTCAAGAGGTGGGTGCATGATCTTGTGCCGGATGAGGAGTGTCTCGATGCTTTCGTACGCGGAAAGAAAGAAGCGATGGAGCTGCTTCTGCAGGAGCGTGGAGAGGAAGTCCAAGTTACCCAGAGTGTCCTGATTACAGTTGCCAGCAGTGCAAATGATCCACAGACAGTGAGGCTCTTGCTAGACAGGCGGGGGCCCAGAACAGAAATCAATAAAAAGGTGCTTTTAGCTGCTGCAGGAAACCATTCGAAAGGCAGTGCGATCATGGATGTGTTGCTTGATGAGTGTGAGCATGACATCGTTATTGATGACGAAATCATTCAAAAAATTGCAGAGAATTCTAATGAAGGCTTGGAAATGATGAAGTCTCTCCTCTGCAGACAGCAAGCGGGCTTTGTGGTCACCGAGCAAATATTATGCACCGCTGCTGAAAAACACGACCGGGAAATGCTGGAGCTTCTGGTGAACAATGCTGATGGCTCTAATCTTCCCATAACAGGGGAAACCTTACGTTCTGTAGCTGGTAATAATTATGATGGACGAGCCTTGATAGAGTACCTATTTGAGCTCCGAGGCCACAGTCTTCCTGTTTCAGAGGATGTACTGGTATCTGTCGCAGATGCAGATAATTATGAGGCGGACGATGTGCTCACGTTCCTTCTAGAGAGGTTTCCTGATATCCCAGTGACTGATCGACTGTTCGAAGCGTCCTGTATCCACCATAATGCCATGAGTCTACTGTTGGATCGACGGCGTGACTACCTTCCAATCGAAGCAATGATCCGCAAAATAGCAAAAGCACCTGTGTTGGCAACGGGAGAAAAGGTACTGGGGATGCTTCTGGATCGGCAGCTTGTGAAATTGGATGAATGGCTGGTGGAAACAGTCGCTGACGAGAACCATACTCTTCTGGAGGTTATTTACCAGAGAAATCCGGATTTCCCAGTGACACCAAAAGTAGTTGTCAAGGCTGCTAGAAACGATGGTGCAATGAGAATCCTGCTTGACCGACAGAAGAACCAAGTTGTGATCACAGAGGAAGTGATCAAAGCTTCATTGTCGGGACCGTTTCCAAACTGGGTCATACGCTTACTCCTGACTCGTCTGGATCGAAACGCAGTGCCAATTACAGAGGATCTCCTGATATATGCTATCAAAAATGATGATTTTTTGCATCGTCAGATCAAAGCTCTAGAGTTGCTTTTAGAACCACGCCGTGACCTCAACCTCAGTGCAGTCTGGGAAGCAATATGGCAGGATCCTGAAATCAAGCCATCTTCTCTGGCTCTGGCAGCAGAGGCTCTTTTTCAATATGTCAGGCTTGATGTCTCGGATGAAATGCTGGAGAGACTCTCATCTGGGTCCTGGTCAAGCTATTCCCCCTTGGATAATTTCGTCCACTCCTGTATGCAGTACAAGATACCGTTACCCACCACCGAGGCAGCGCTCGAGTTGATTGTTGAAAATACCACGTTGAACACAGTCGATATATACCTGGAGAACTATCCTGACACCACGATTACCAAGAAACACATCGAAGCTGCCAAGAGGAATTCGGTAGAAGACAGGTACCGGGATGAGCTGGTTTCACTTCTACTGTCTGCCAAGTCGAGGGTACCCTCATCTTGAAGAGCACTGGAGGTCATGATGTTTATTTTGTTTTTGTTTTCTTTTTCTTCGTGTTCTTTCTTTTTGATGCTTCGAGTTGGATGGGAAAATATCCTTGATTTAACTCTTGTTTGGTGTTACCTGACCAGATAGACACCAGACCTTCTCTCTCTCTCTCTCTCTCTCTCTCTCTCTCTCTCTCTCTCTCTCTCCTCCCTCTTAGATCTCAGTTTCCGCCAACCATTATGTGGTTCATCCGTTAATACTACTCACTCACCAAGTCTGTTACCCTGACAGTTCAATTTATCAGACCGTACATCAAGGATTGATTACTGTAGACATTACTATAACGCGTCTCTAATGAAAATCCCAAAGGGGAAGTACACAAGTAACCAGTGGACATAGAAATTGCAGTAATGAAATCTAATTGGTTTGAATGAACAGAAGAAATGAGGCTACTACTACCACTATACTTCATGAGATAACCCAACCTAGTGGACATTAGAAATGATATATACTACTACTTAAGACCACTTCAAACATACCTAACCACATAGTCTACAACTACCCATCCCAACACATACAAAATAAAAATAAAACACCATCACACACCAACAACAACTACTACAACACCTAAAACAACCCCTCCATATCCAAATCCAAAAACTCGGGATTCCCCACCGCCATATCTGCCGCATTCAACACATCATCAATACTCGTATCCAACCCCCCACTTCCCATACCCCCCATGCCTCCTGCTCCCCCACCACCGTCCATCCCCGCCGCGACAGCATTATCCAGCATCTGGTTGATCGTACTCTCCTCTTCGTGGCCGCCTGCCCCGGAGGTATCCAGGTCCATTTGTCCCGGTCCACCTACACCAACGCCGAGCTGCATGTTCTGAATGATGTTGTTCATGTCCAGTTGCGAGGGTGGAGTAAGGGCGGCGTTGACGCGGCGCCATAGCCGCACGATGATTTCTGCGCGGAGGGGATCCTTTTCGCAGATCTTGGGGACGGAGTCGTGTAACTGGTAGAGGGCGCCGCGGGGGGTGAGGATTGGGTTACGCGGGGGGATTTCTTTGGTCGTGTTGGTAGGGTCGATGTGGTGGTGAGGGGAGTAGGTGTTTTGGTCGACGGCGAAGGAGTCAGCCAGGGGGGCGCAGATCATGGTGGCTGCGATGTCGAGGGCGAGGTCGCTGCTGCCTGTAGTGTTTGTGGGGGAGGCGGTGGCTTGGAGTTTGAGTTCGTCGATTAGGGCGCAGAGTACGCGCATGGAGCCTTGGATGTGGATGCCTGCGATGAATTGGCGGTGGGTGTAGGATTGAGGGGCCATGCTCATGTCTGGGCTGGTGCTCCAGAGGATGAGCGATTGGAAAGTGCTGCGGATGCTGGCGAGGAGGCCGCCGGGGGTGTGGGCGGTCCAGGACTCGAGTTCGCTGCGGCGGGTGCTGCCGCTGCGTTGGAAGGAGAGGTGGGGTTCGAGGGCCTCGAGGATGGGTTTGATGGTGTCGTCGGGTTGGCGGGCGCGGATGCTCTTGAGTTGTTCTTCGAGGGAGCGGGCCGTGATGTTGAGGACGGTTCGGTGGATTTCTTTGGCTTCGCCGGAGATGGAGCTCGGGCTTATGAGGGAGTGGAGGGCTTTGAGGGGGATGGAGGGGTCGCTTTCGGATTCCCAGATGTGGTTTCCCAGCCAGTTTAGGGCGAGGATGAGAGATGGGAGGAGGAAGGGTTCCAGGAGGTCTAGCGTTGTTAGTCTTGAGAGGGGGAGGGCAGAAGGTGTAGGGCTTACATTCGAAGCCGCCCTTGAGGGTGTCGAAGTCGAGCTTTCCTGCTTCGCATGCGCTGAGACTTTGGTTGAAGAGTGTTGTCACTAGCATATAGAACTCCTGCGGACTGCAGGCGGACATGGTCTCTTCGCTGATACCCTCCGCCATGAATAAGGCGTTGATCCAGGATCCAAGGTTCTTGTTCTGCTTCTCGCTAAGGTCGTCGAGCTTCTGGCTGCAGAAGCCGTTCTCGAGCAGTCGCAGGACGAAGGAGTTGCTACCTCCAATTCCCATGTCTTGCGGTCGCAGGTCGTATCGGAACTTGAAGGTCAGCACAAGCAGTAGGATGCTTCCAAACTCGTCGTAGACTGGTTGACTCTCGCCCTGGTCCTCGTCCCAGTGCCAGGCGTCTAGCAGAGCGCAGAGCGGTTGGAGTACTTGCTTCAAGCTGCGGAAGAGCAAGATCACGTCCAGGGCCTGTGGCCGACGGGACAGTGAGTTGCAGATGTTTTTCAACGTCATCGTCTCTTTTTGATTGCAGAGATGGTGCATGACCTGGTTGCGTCAACCTTTGATTCCCAAAAAAAAAAAAAAAAAAAAAAAAAAAAAAAAAAAAAAAAAAAAAAAAAAAAAAAAAAAAAAAAAAAAAGAAACAACACTGGAGGACCTACATCTGTAATAGCACCCACTATCGCACCTGCGTTGCCCTCCATGGACTCGATCTCGTTGATCAACTGCTCTGCGCGCTCGGGATTGGCATTGATCTGCGAGACGAGCTCATCCTTGTTGTATGGGCCGCCGACAGGGAGAGTCTGCATTGGATTCTCGCCTAGTAGGCGCTCGATACTCGACTCGGGGATCAACTTGTGCGAGGCACAAGCAAACAAAAACTCCTGTCGCACATCGGACAAGACCGTATTGCTTTGCATAGCGAACATCTGCGAGAACGATGGGAACGTGTTTGGGTCTAGCCGGCTCAAAGCATGGCTGATGCAAAGCTCCATCGGCAACGGCAATGACACGATAGAGGCTGCCAACATGGCCGCGATGAAGGTGGGGAGCTTGTTCACCAGAAACGAGCGGAACAGAAACATAGTTCGGCTAGACTCGTTGCGGTAGCTGGCATTCGACAGGACATCGAACGAGGCTGTTATGAGCTCCTCAATGAGAACTTGATAGTGTCCCTGCGATGGTCAGCTAGTGCTGCGATAAAGATAACGTTCTACTCACGCCGTATCTATTCGAAAGGAAATTCAGCAGCATGCTATCATCTACCAAGGGGCGGCCCACAAGCTAGAATCCAGTTAGTAATATTCAGATAATTGTGCAGCGGTTGAAATACCATCGCATTGATATACACATAGAGACCTGCTCTGGAATTTATCACAGGCCCGTCCATGACCGAGTCCTCAAACTGAAGCGCATTGACATTGACATTTTCCATCATGGAAACATCCAATGCTTTGGACGGAGGCTCTCCAAACAAATTGAACTCCTTTTGCAAGCTATCCAACCGGTTACGGAGCGGCAGCGATACCTCCACACAGAGGGGAAGATACGCCGACAAAGCCTGTCCAAGCTTTATCTTCAACGCTATCAGACCGTCAGTATATTCCAGACACTAGAGGAACATGATATAATACCTTCATGAGAATCCGCCGAAAGAACCTCCAACCCCTTAGCTGTCCCCGAAAGCGCCGCAAGCAGAATCCCGAGACTCTCAAACAACGACACCGCATCAGGCGAACTCATCAACCCTCCCGTCTGATGACTGGTATCCAAATGACTATTATGCCAAGCCACAACAGCCTGAATCCAATCCACAATAGACGCAAAGATACTCAACGCCTCAGCAAAAGTCTTCGAAGCAGTGCCCGTCGAAACAGAAAGCATAGCATCCTGAACCACCCTGATATCCGTCATCAGAGTATAACACTTCCGCTTCTGCTTTCCCTGCACAGCAGCAGCTGTAGTAGCATTCGCCTCCGAACCACCCGCCGACGGCATCTTATCATGAATAGACGAATGCTTGAGCAGCGAATTCAACATCGTCGAAGTCCGCACCAATCCCATCTTGCACAGACAGTCAATATACAAAGGGGGCAAGGGATCCCATTTGATCCCCGTTGCGAGGCGCGTCTCCAGCAATACATCGAGCAGCTGGGCTTCACCAATGGGATAGCGCTGCATCAGCAGCCGCGTGAGGTTCTTAAACTCCGCGGCATCGATCCGGTGGAGCAAACATTGTTGGAGGAATGTCCCCCATTGTTCGGAGGATGTCATGTTCCAGATATTTTCGCGAGATTACCTGGCTTTGCGGAGTGCATAGCAAGCATGCGGGGGGAAGCTATATATTGGAACTCAATTTACACGTTCACTTGAACTCGGCGCTGATGTAGCGTTGGACATCGTGGCCTTGGCCCTCCTTGTTGGCGGTTCTTTCCGGGGAAAGCTTCAACCGTTTGTTTGGACGACGTCGAGGAAAGGTCACGTGGGATTAGATAAGCGGGTGTCACATGATGGGTGGTTGTTGAGGCTGAAGACATTCAGTATAGAAGTATGCTTGACAAGGATGAGAGACAACCACAACTTAGTCAGGTGTATAAATGTGGTAGCGTCTATACATCTAGTAGTATATACATACATGAGACCTATCTATATACAAAGGACCCAGCCTTGGCTCAATGTCATGTCATGTCCATCGATACCTGTCAGACCCAATCCCCGTAATTACAATACCATTCACGCCACAAACCATGAAAGAGTAATCAAGTCCGAGCAAAGACCAGACAGACCCTGTGTAACCATACTCCATCGGACCAACTACCTAGCTTGAACATGACAGACTTCAAACTACATGAGACACAAGGAAATCGAAACCGAGTTATACCTCAAACAGTATATGCAGCAAGCAAAGGTGTTGGTGTGCTCGGACGTTCACCGTTGTTAGTCAAAGCGATCTGGCGCCAAAAAACTACTACTCAAGCCCACAAATACCTGTACAGGCCAATCAAGCCCGCCAGATCTAGGGTAAACGGCCACACACTGGGCGCACATCCAGGACGAGTTGAACCATGGGATTAAATTGGGGGCCCCTTGACGGACAATTATATGTAAAAGGTTTCTGATTGCAGAGTGGGGGATTTCCCACAGAGCAAGTACGACTAAAAGGGGGGTTGAGGGAGGGAAGGAGGGTACCTACAGTGGGATGTCAGAAGTTTGCGTTGCCCCTTGTTCCACGCTAGCCGTTCCGCTTTCCTAATTAAGCTATCTAGAACTCTATCTAGAACTCAATAAGCTGTATACCAACCATCCGCTTGGATGACTGCCTGTACGCGATGAGGCATGGTTTAACATAGATTTCAAAGCACTCTTTCATCAATTGCATGCCAGGCTTCAATTGCTGCATCTATAAGCCTCTAGCAAGTATCTTCAGTATCTGAAGCGCGTTCCAACTCAGGATGTAGTTCGTATATCTTGGCTTTCATAATAGCCCATAGATTTTCAATAAGATTCAAATCAGGTAAGTATGGCGGCCAAATCATGACTTCTACCCCCATATCTTGAAGCAATTCGCGTACAATATAGGCTTGGTGTACAGATGCCCCGTCATGCATGAAGATATCCCCAGTCTGTAATATCTCAAATAGAAATGCTTCATAAATACCATGAATAATCCATGCAGTAACACCTTGACGCGTTAATTCTGGATCTCCTTGTAAAGGTAAGAGACCAGTACATCTATTATATCTAAAAACAGCCCAAAACATCTGCTTAACACCCTTTCCACAATATACAGCATGAATATCACGCTCAATGATTTGTTGTTTTGGTGATCAAAAGGTATAGATTCATCGAACTCCTGCGCCGCGCTCAACTAAGCATTCATCTGACCAGATAACTCATAGGAAGTCTTCAGCAGTATATTCTGCATATTATTAAGCCCATCTTAATCTCTTCTCTGCATGTTGAGGAGTAATTTCTGGCCGCTCACATTATTTCCATTTCTGCATGTGTAGAGTACGGAACAGACACTGAACTGTTCTAATTGAAGGACTGCTTTGTACAGCAGTAGAGAGTTCACGCATTTTTATATGTTGATCTTGCTCAACCAAGTCTAATAACTTCTGCTGTTCTTCAGGAGTGATCTTTTTGGATCGACCGGAGCGAGGTGCAGAGTGTTGCTGCTTTCGCGTACTCTCGCGTTTGATTGTAGTCTGTATAGTAGAATAAGGAATATGAGGATAGCGTTTATGAATCATAGTAAAGGTCCATCCAATTGCTTTTAACTCACAGAGTCTAGCACGGATCTCTGGGGTCAACTCTTTGCGTGGTGGCATCTTTGTATGGCTTGCTTGCTTGCTTGCTTCAAGATTCAGGGCTCTGTACGTGTTGTTTTGGTAGGCAGAATAGGTGTATTCTAACCTATTTAGGAAGGCGGAAGTGAAAGCAGTTAGCGTAGAATGTGGAGCAACGCAAACTTCTGACATCCCACTGTAGGGCCACAGTAAGAACCACTATCTTGAACCACACAATGGGGCCTTGACTTTTCCTTTCTCTCTCTCTCTCTCTCTCTCTCTCCCTCCCCACTCATAAAAAAGAATTAAGCGACGGAATTAGACCAAATACCATGTGAGATCTTGTGTGCATCTGGCCCTGAGAGTTATTTTTCCTTTTTCTTTTTTTTTTCTTACTGTTCCCCTTGCCGATCTCCCCACCCGAGACGAGGATCTCGGAAATCTGGAAAGTGGACCGAGGCTATGAAAAAAAAAAAAAAGTGAGGTTAATCTCGACCAGATGCCGGAAATGGGTTGTCTGACGAGATTTCTCACACACTCTTTTTCATTCTCTCCCGGCCGAAAGAAAAAAGTACCATATGTTATACGGCCGAAGCCGGGGTAACTCGGAATTGTATTTCCTTGACACATGAGATTTACTTGGTGAAATTTCAATGTAGTAGTATTGTTGTGTGTGGGTGGTAGTATAGTAGTATATGTGAAGAGTATAAAATAATATGATAGTAGCATTTGGTATAGTGATGGTCAATGCTGATTGACAGGCTAGTTAGGTTATTAATTATAAAGGCAACTACTATTACTGGAGAGTCTGTGCTGTGTTTTGCTTTCATCAATAATGCAGGGTACTCTACTGAATCATAGCTTCTGACTCGCAATGTGCATATCTTTCTCCTGAGAACCTGGCCGGAATTCTTGCCTAGTAAAGTATTAGAGTTTGGTGGGCGAGGGGTCACTGAGCGGCGATCTTGCATATGTGGGTAAGAATCGCCCGTCGGAAATACTGTCCCATCGCCCGGTACGGGTACTAGTAAGATTCAGTTCCGGTCCGATCGATCTTGTATTACCTTCACTATTGTTGGATGGGTATACACGGTAACAATGGATTGATGTTATCATAGCAGGATTCAAGCATATATACATTTTCTTTAGAGGTAAGTAAGATTTGTGCGTAGTAACATATATTGTCTGTATGATTTTTTATTGAGTTCAATGACCTGGTTATGTATAGTAAACATCAGGAGTGTAAGTCCATCTTACGCATAGTTGGTAATACGAATGTAACAAGCTATGACCCCTCGACCTCGATGACGCGTCGCAACATGACAGAACCTGACTCGACAAATTCTCCGAGCCAGGCGCCTTGACTCACCCGCCATCTGCACTGTTCAGTTGCCTACATGACAAGTACGGCGACCAAATGACTTAACATAAGAGAAATCGTATATTCGTTCGGTTGGAAGCTAAAACGGTCAAAGCAGCATACACACCACACGCCGCAGCACAGATGGGAAATTACGCTTTCAGAAGAGACGGAGATCTCCGAACAAATCTACTATAGCACTTCCGATGGATCGGATGAGGTGTGGGTGTTGGTTTTAGTAATCGGCTGAGCCTGAGTCCGAACATACGAATATGTTACCAGTCGGCGAAAGAGCAGTAATTTGATACGACCAAGCGGCAGAGTGCAAGTGCCTGAAAGGAAAATATGACCGACGACTAGGTCGATGGCGATCATCCTTCCCTTTTTAGATTTCCCCTTTTCTATGGGGATAGTAACACAACTAACCAAAGGAGTAAAAGGTCAACTGAGCACCAAATTTGAGCCGTGAGAAGTGCCAGGGGGATGTGTAAAGTACGTCACATCCCTATCGATCGTGGTTGGTTGGTCTGCCGCGGTGGACGGATTGCTGGACCCAAGGATCCATTGACCGTTTCGTTTCAGATTGAGTATAGAGGAGCTCATTCGGGAAAGAGGGGGTTTTTAATTATTTACCCGGTATAAGTATGAATTAAATGGTTCCCCGGAGGCTGCCTGTGTGAGGACATTGGGGAACATGCTATGATCATTGGCGAGCCTAAAGTAAGCTCCTTGATATAGCTCAGCGATCGTGTGCCAATCACAGTCTTTTGAGAGAGTTCCTGACTCGAAAAGATCTCCTCAATTGGTATTAGAAAATGTCTGAGGTGCTGTAGACCCGCGGGCAAGGCACACCTGATTTTCCTGTAGTAGCCGAGACCGTGACCGGAGGTATGACCCTACTTTTCACTAAGGATATACCCATGATAATGGCGAGCAACAGACTCTGAAATGAAGAAGCGAAACACTTACAGATGAGGCTCGTGGTTCCTCGTGCACACCAAATCCCGATTTCTAGGCCCGTCGGCGCAATTTAGTATTTAGTTTGACCTGGGCCCTCAAATGGTAAGTCGGTGTGAGTCTCGATTAAACAATAAAAAGCAAGGGACTCACATGCTTCGTTCCAAAAGCCCAGTGCAAGTGCAACTCTGGAGTCTCCTGCGACACTCTGAACCCGGCCGTTGGGCTTCCTCTTCAACTTAATAAGTTGTCATATAACAGTGACTCACCATGCGGTTCCTATCATGTCGTATAACGATAGAATAGACGTCTGACAATTTAAGGACGGTGTATTCAGCGCTGCTTGATCTGATTGGCTCGAGTCGAAGAAGCGCCAGGGGATATCATCACGAGGTTGTCTCGGAAGTTATTCCACACTATGGCCCACATTCACGGCAAGACTGTAGACTTGCTTTGAAGACTTGAAGGTTAGCGGCAATCCAGTAACCATAAATGTCTCCACGTCGTATGTCGTTTCATTTAGTATACTGCATGAAGAGATTTGGAAGTCAGTAGGCTAAGGTATGCGTCGGCACTGTTCTGAAGTGATAGACGAAGTTGGGCCAACGTCTCGTGTCTTTGCATTGAAGCCAAGGATAATGGGGAATTGCAAAGAGCATTGGCATGATGCTGTACATCCACCACTATGCGTGAGGAAGCATTAGTGAGGCAGATTTTGTCGAAATGCGTTGAGGCATTAAGTTACAAACAAGGATACTCCCCTGCTTGACACCAGTCTACCGTGGCAGAGACGGATGACTCTGATTGAAAGACCGAATAACCCCTTGGCATCTTGCCGAATCGTCTGGGTTCAGTGCACGTTCCTAACAGGTAGGTGAGCCTTGCTTAAGCGCCCTGCTATTGACGCTTCGTTTATGCGGGTTGGAACACACGGGACTAGGCTGTCAAAGCCTATTCATGAGGTGGTGATGCACTTCCGCTTTGGTGATCGTCATGTCACCTGCGTAAACGAATAATTGACATTCATCACGACGCCGATCAGAAAGACACAAATGGTCGGTAAAGCGGCCTTTGGTCACTATTGTTTACTATTAGCACTAGCAGCCCACAACATCCAGTGGAGTCTTCACCCACCTTGACGGATCAGAGCCACATGCTTGAGACAGCATCAGTGTTCGGTCAACATCTGCAACATCGCAACACTAACAGCAGCTAGTGTGGCTGGCAAACCCATGATCCTTGCAGAGATCTGTGGCTAGTGCAAACTAGTGGCAATAATATGTGGCTGGAGAGGACTGCCCCGCCACGGTGGCAAAACATGCCGTGGCTGTGATGTCGATCGCTGTGGCGTCGGGGTCGCCGTCTGGCCAGATTTGTTCGCTTGCTGTAGGTAGTATCGTGGGCGAAAATCTCGATGCTATGTGAGTTAGAATGAGCTCGGTTGGCAAAGAACAAGCAGGTACCATTTGAGTCGGTCAGGATGATATCCGTCCTGGGGATGGTAAAGAGAAGGGATACTCAGAGTATAAATCGAGCCGGCCAGTAGAGAGTTTCAGATACAGGGCAGAACGGTAAGTTACACCCTATGAAAAAGGTAAGAGTAAAAGAAAAACATGCATAACCCAAGTAAGCTCCGATCACCCCCTACATACGGTGTCCACCTCCAATAGTTGCCTGGAGGTTGTCGGCTCCGAGCCCGTATTTGCTTGCCCAAGTGAGATGTCACACTTCCATTAGTTTCTCTCCGCTCAGGTTGCGGCCGCGCGACGGGTCAATTTTCGGTGGCAAAGGCGCATGCGAAGTCAAACATGAGCACAATGCATTATGCAGCTTTAGATTAGCGAGCAGCCAATTGGACGGCCTGGAACTGTCATGGTGGATAGGATGAACGTGCTCGTGCATACATACTCTTCGTGAATTCCGGGAATTGGTGTGGTGACGCTGCCCCATTGATAGGCCGGCGGTAATTCGAAAAACCCAGAAGGAGCAAATAGTTGAGACTTAGGTAGACTCACCTTGCATGGTTTCCAACCAGAATACTGTGTACAACAGGGAGAGGTCATTGATATATTGGTATGAAAAGGGCCGAACATTCCTTTTCCAATAAACATCGGAATTGTTTTCCTTGGAACCGGCCCCTCCTGGTGGACATGGAAAGTGGCCTCTACCCCAACGATACCGGTGTCATATAACGCGGTTAACGGTCATCTCGCATTGACTCCATGGTGTGTTGTGCGGTAAGGCGTGCTAAGCGCACGAAAAGCATTAGACAACATTGATGTTGTAAGCACCTAACCTGTTTGGAGCCCATGCGCACCGGGACCTAGAAAGGGAAAAAGCAAATGCCGTCTCAGATCCACCAACGGTAACATAATGATCAAGCCACCGACCAAGTAAGCCACAATGAGTTATGGTTCGCAGTGCAGAGATACGACCCAGCAGCATCGCACCACATTGTTTTGCCAGGTATCTGTCAAAGCCGCCCGAAAGACGAATGCATATCACCTGCACCTTGAGCATGGCGTCTCGTAAGCCGCAAGGTGTGAATAGCTGGTTGGTGCTTGGTTTGGGATACTTTTCTCACCGCTCATCCGGGGTTTCTTTCTTCTGCTGTCCCGGTTTCATGCTGTGAGCATGCGTGCATATGTTGCTATCGGAGCCACAAGTTGGTCTACTGAAGGGTATCAATTCACCAGCTGCGTGGCATATCCCGGACCTCAGTCAGGATTGATAGCTGATAGATCAGTCGAGTTATTTCTTTTTCGCCGCGTATGAATACTTCTGCCTGTATCAGCTCAGCTAGGATGCGAGCTGGCCGAATAGGGGAAAACATCAATAGAGGGAGAGGCGGGATGTCATCACCGCATCGACCTTACCAATGGTTCAGTAACACAATAGCTCGACCAGTAAGGTGCAGAAACGGCCTCGCTATTGCAGTGAGTGGATCTGGGGCTGGTGTCAAGAAGGCCGCGGCGTCACGGAGTGGCAAATTCTGTGGCATTAGCTTAGTTGAGCTGGAAGGCAGCCAAGCGGACCCTACAGTGTGATTGAATTGATTAGCAAAGGCTCGCTGGTTCACTGGTGGCCCGAATCCACCTAAGATCGAGTAGTTCGTGCTTTCTGGTAAGACGCCGAAGCGATTCGGAAGTGATAGTTGAATCAGGGAACCCCGTCCTTGAAGCTAGCACCGAGAGGGAGAAGTGAGAAGGAGGAAGTTCAGTGATCGGGAACCACATCCTTACCGAGTGCCCGACCGTATAGTACATTAATTACCATACCTACTTACCCTTGCCAGCAAGCCCTGTAGGAGTTGTTGACCTGCATGACTGCGGGTCAGCTGGCTGTCTCGGTCTTACTATCCAGCAAGTAACGTCTTTCTATTGGTAGTCAGGTCGGACTTAATTCTGCTTCTTCGGCCTTTTCTGCTTTACTCCAGAGAGCGTCATTCGAGCTTCCCGATATTTTGCATGAAAGATGTCAAGACTAGAGCAATGACAAGGTCATTGTTGTAGAGGCTACGAAGGAGTCGAAGACCTGTCCTGTGCCTGCTGGTGGTTCACGCAACTGGTGAATCCGAGTGGTTGCCAATGGCCAGTTCATCATCCTACGTATTGGCAGTTTCAGTCCCCGAAACTAATTTGCAGTCTTAACAAATTTCACTATGCTACTGCTCGTGCCTTTCGAAAGCCAACAGGTCAAGGCAATAGTGTGTGAGATCAGGGTGCTGATTACGAGACCTCATAGTCAACAGAGGAACACAGTCTGGCAAGCATAGAGAAGAAAAAGAAAAGAATAGAACAGCAGGATGGCCTTGCGCTGTCGATGCTGCACCCCGCTAAACTCCAACATGCATTAGCACAGTAATATCTCTTTTCGCGTCTGTCGGGCCAGTTGATGGCACCAACTCGAGAATGGGCCTGCCAGGCGGCTTGGACTCGAAGGCTTCTAGACAGGAAAGGCAAGGAAAATCAATCACCATCCCACAGCTGATAGTCTAGGGGAGGAGTTCCTGACCGCCGCATGTACTACTAGCACACGAGACTATGGTAACGCCACTTACACCGCATCCTTCGCGAAGATGAGCGATGCGAACTGGGATACTGAAGCTGAAGCTGAAGGGGTTCGTTGGCTTGATAATACGGCCGTGCCAAGGACACATGGCTGACAGGAAGGATGATTGGTGATGGGGCAGTCCCCGGACCTCATCGCCATTTAGACTGGCCATCTTGAACCCGATGGACTGGGCGCCGTGTCATCATTTGGCATGGATGCTGATGGTTGTTACCGACCACGGTAACGAATGGGGCCCGGGAAGGTCTGGTACCGTCAGCATACAGCGGGAGAGATACTGGGTCGGATTAGGATCGGATGGACGATCTCATGTCTCGCACAGTTTCCCTTTTTCTTATTCTCTTCCGTTTCCTTATATTTTTTATTTCTTCTTTGCGGTACCCTGGTAGAATTCATCTTCATGATACTTGATCGTCCAGGCCGAGCACTCTCCCCGACTGCACGGAGATTCAACCACCGCATGTGAAGGATGTCGCCGGCATCCCACAGCTTACCCAACTGAGCCGGGTGCAGTTTCAGAAGGCGATGCAGCTCAAGATCTGACCGCTGTCGAAGGCACCGATTAAGGGATGCTATTAATCGCACTACCACCACTGCTCAGAAGTCGAGACGTAAGTACTTGGAGACTTTGTGCAGCTGCACGGATATCTTTCGATCTGAGCGACGGGCCTATCAGCATTTTTCCGGGTCCACCAGCCCAAAAGGACACGCGATGACCAGCGCTTTTTGCCATCCGCTAAGGGCGGAGCTGCTAAGGTACGGGGCACCATCACACACCCTTTCCCTACACTAGTCTGCCCTCCCTTTCCCGGGTTCTGATGGCCGTACCTGGTTTTGCCTTTTTTATTTTTGGGCAGGGGGAAAAAAAAAAAAAAAACGAAGCATGAAATCTATCAGTCTTGCCAGTTCCGATGTATGTAACAAAGGTAATACAATTTATCTTCTTATTGATTTTTACTTCTCATCTTTGGTTTCTATTTATTAAGATATTTTGTTTTGTCAATTTGCTTCTCTCTTTTTCTTTTTATATTCTTAAACTTTCTTCATAATCGTGATCGGGTATGCGGTTTGATGGATTACCACGGGTAAGATTCCGCTCAGAACTAAACCAGTGTTGCCCTGTTCCCAACGGACCACTGCCTAGTTTGGGGGTGGAGGGTTTAGCACTGGGATTTATTGCTTGCTGCTCACTAAAAAATCATTATTGGCTGTGGCCTAAAAAAAATCCCATCAGACCCGAATTAAAATTGAACGAAAAGAGAAAGAACAAAAATTATTATCAAAGAAAATATTTAATGCCAAAAAAGAAAGATAAAAATAAAAAAGAAAGTATCAGAACCTTCTTATTTATATGATACAGATTCTCGAGAAACCAACAACCCTCTTTTTTCTCATCAACCAGTCCAGCCCAACCCAAACCGAGAAGTTAACCGGTAACTGCCTGCGTGACCCTATCGGGTACACCCGTTCTGGTTCTAGTCGCTCGTCAGGTCCCAAACAATATACAAGACTACTTACGTCCACTTGCCAGCGCTGCTCCGCAATCTGACTCTTTTTTCTCCTTCGGCCGTTCCATTCTCAATTCACAGCCTCTTCCTTTCTTTGGGTCCGAGGATTTATGTATGTCGCATACCCCCCGTTTCATCTCTCCAATGGACTCTCTTTCTATAAAGCCTTGTCCCCTCCAACTACCTCATCCACCCGCTCTCTCTTCCCCCTCCTTGGCCTCGACCCATGCTCTGTCATGAGCTGCGCCTGTTTCCCCTCATAGATGGATCACGCTTAGCAGATGTCCATGGATGAATCTCACTCGGGTAGAGGACTAGGTTTTGCGATCAGGACTCTGTTTCGCTCCTCCCCATCGCCCTCCCCGACTCCTACCCCGCGACATCGAGTCTCTCTCCTCCGTCGTGGTCGGAGTATATTTTCCAGCAGGTACGGTCTCATTGACTCTTCAGTCACTTGGGTTCCATAATTCTCGCGATTTATACCCCATATTCTTGCTACGGGGTTGTCCATTTCACTGTTACCTTCGTCTCCGACTTCAATCGCTCCGTTGGGCAATGGTGAACGAGGGCTACTAGCAAAGACAAACGGTTGTGGAAGCAAGTGACTAAGTCTCTTTTTTGCGCAGGAATCCTCGAAACTCGAGTAAACCTTCGTCCGGTTCCCCAATGCATGACTTCCAGCAATTCAACTCGGCCGCGATGGTGGGACTGGCCCAAGCGTCTGCAGGCGACAACTTTGACATCTTCCAATGGCACCCTCGATACCAAAGCTGCCAGCGATACTTTCTTGATCATGCGCAACACAGTGATGCAGTCCAAGCACTCTCTGCGTTCTTGAACATCCGTCTCCCCTTCCAATGGCAGTCGAATCCTGTCGTAAACTCTCATGCCGACCCATCCCGATCCGCCGCTAGCCAGTCATCTACATCCTCACCTGCCTCGAATCTACCTCCATCTGTCTCATTGATTCCATACATCCGCCGCCTGGTGGCCACGGGAATGGATTTCCCTGGCGTGTTGCATGGGTTTTTCGGGGACGAATGGGGCGCGGGCATTGGACCTCTGCACGAGCAGGAGCGGCGCAATTACCTGTTCGCCGCGAAGAGTGGTGGCTGGGCGGCCGTTAAAAAGGATTACGACATGCCACCGCTGGAGACAATTCCGTTCCTACGTCCCTTACAGGGGCCGCTAGATTCCGAGATTGAGGCAGCGGAGCGGAGTTGGAGCGAATGGCTTGCCATGGAAGACTGGATGGTAGGGCCTCGAGCGCCTGATGTTCTTCGAGACTCATCCTCACAAATTTCACGACATCACAGCTCACGAGGGTAATTCTTTATTATAGGGTGCTGGGGCTTCTTTCTGGCTTCTTTCCTTTCTTCTTTTCTGCATACTTTTGCTATCTGCTTTTCTGTCCCATTTACACTGCTTTAACCCAACACTAGCCACGCTGGCGGTAGCACGGAGTTGGTGAGTCTCATAGCATGAGATAACGATCATACGATATCTTGAATCATGAGCGCGATAGACATCGCGGGTCCCACATAATGGTGTTCTGGCTTCAATTATTGAGGGAGCCGTGCGAACACCTCGCAAGGGGTCAAAGATACCACAGAACAACAATTGAAATAAAACATCCGAAAATAACCAGTGAAACCAATCAATCAATTAATCAATCAATCAAACATTTATCCCTTCCTAGCCCCTATTCAGCCCATGAACGCGTTATCCAACAAGGAAAACTCGCTTCAGGTAGAGTAAGTAGAGTACCTGACAGTCCCACCGCCACCCCTACCCCCTGCGCGCGTCGGGTAGCAGCTCCGATAGTCATGACGATAGATAGTACGCAGGTCACCTTAGTCAAGTCTACTACTACGCTAAGTAACTAAGTAAACTAGCGCGCCAGTCCGGTCAGGCCTCCACGAAGCTGAGCCCTTTTCCTTGGTTTATTTACGAACTTCTGATGCCCGAAACGGCGCCACCCCTGACACCAACGCCATCCGACGGACCGCGACATTAGCCCGGAGATCATCATCCTCTCCTGTAGAACATAGATACGTAGTCACCTACATCCGAACTATCCCCATACTCAAACGTACAAACTACGAAGTTAAGTAACTCCTCCGTATATACTGTTTTTGTTATAGTTATATCCACGATTGCCGATGAACCCGACCGAGACCCGCCCCACCGGTTCCTCACTACCTATCACAGTAACCATCTAGTCTATCTATCCAGCGGAACTCCCGATATGGTACGGCTACAATCTCTACCTGCAAATACTTAACTAGATCAATTATCCATTTCCGTTAATGATGAATGGCTTACCAAGCAAGTCAATCAACGGTCGTACCAAGATTAGTATGTACCACGATGCGAAGGGAAGACAGATTTCCGCCCAGTATGGAAGGTAGGGCTTCCCTCTATCTTCGATCCGATATACCCGCTTCACCATCCATCCATCCAACCTTCATCTCCACATTTGAACTCTCGACCGTGGGAGAAACTCACCGGAGTGTGAACTTACCGTCATATTTTCATTGGGAATGGGGGTTGATGTGATGTGATGGCTGGCTGAGCCAAGTCTTTCTTCTTTTTACTAATCACATACTAACTACCGAGGTGTGTAGTATGTTAATTGCTTGGTTGCCTACAAACAAAGACTCCTAATACACAACGCATATATTAAGTAACTCATATGTGTGCTTATGCTATATATGTACGTATGTATGTAAGAGGCTTCAAATCCCGAAACCCAACTAGTATGAAACAGGGCCGAGCGCGAACTAGTTAATTAGTTACAGAGAGTAAATAGGTAGATGGGTAAGTAAGTAGGGATAGGGGGAAAGCCGCTATGAATGAATAAACTTCTTCTGGAGTTTTCGATGGGGATGCCGGGTGTGGTAGTTTGTGGCGCGGCTGAAGGGCGGGGACGGAACTTGGACTGGACTGGACTGGACTGGACTCGGTGGGAGAGGGGAGAGATGTGGGAACTTACTATAACTTACTACGGGGGGGATGGGAAGTGGAGTTGGGAGTTGGGTTAGGGTAGGTTGGGTTAGGTTAAACTAGACTGGAATGGACTATACTATGGAAGGTTATGCTGTGGTTACGTTGTTGGGTTGTGTGATTGTGCATTTGAGAGGAGAGTATTGTACTGTGGTGATTAATCATATTAAGCATTGTATATTTACGATAGAATATGCCATATGGTGTGTTTCATAACTACAATCCGTGGACAATGAGACTGTGACTCTCATGTATACTTCGTATATAGCGACGACGATGTACCTTTTGAGTCGAGGAGACAGAATTCCACATGGTATTAACGCCGGAGATGTCTCGGATTACGGATGTATCATTACCCCGGCTGCTGTATATGACACGATACATAACTTACGTTACTGTCTTCCGGTATTGATGTATCGGATCTGTCTACCTTACTAATCTGAATCAGTAGATAAGGATTGATACCGTGTATTTGATAGATCTAGTTAGCTGGTTATTGGTATAGTGTATGTTACTTCAATCTAACAATGTGTGTATATATTACATTCCATAGACTTGATGATTGTAGACTTGCCAAACCAGGATGACTGCTGAACCTTTCTGCATCAGTATAGTCTTTATTATCACTGGTTGTATCCAGAGGCATTCCAGAGTCCTCGTAAGAGAGTTAGATATCTCTTCGTTACCTCCTCACCAGAGCTGTTTCGTCTATATGTCTGTTGTCATTGACAGTCTGAGGAACATAGAAACAATCAGCAGAGACAGAGCACTGATATATGTAGTGTTTGCGGGGGGCGCCGCTTCCTTCTTCCTTGTCCATGTTCTCGATGATCTCCCGGACTTTCTTCCAGTGGGAAGACCCCTCGATTACAGCATTGATATCGCAGGCCAACCAGCTCTCCTCATTATCTGGTATAACCCCCTCCGTATCCATATAATCCTGTATGCTAGGAATATTAGTTAATCACCAGCTATTCTTCCGCAGGAGATGGAGGAGCCCAAGAAAAATTATATTAATATAGAGGGCCTGTGTCATGCTCTTAAGTCTGGTCATCTGACAAAAATAAAGCATTAACTTTCTTTATTTTCAGTTCAGGAAAGTCAAGGCAGTGCTGTGTGAACCAAACAGATTTCTGCAACTGCTTGAGGAAGTTGATGTGCAATAAGAAGACACCGAGGCGTAATAAAACCTCGCTCAACTCAGGGATCACAGGCCCAGCGCACTGGTATACACTGTTAATCTACCTCAGGGCTTTAGCGTCATAGTCGCGAGTGCACAGATCATTGCACCACTCCGCTGTCTTAATCAGCCGCATAAATGCCGCCTTGTTCCTTGGCGAACTCAGGCAGGATATCACTAACAGGAACCAGTGGGCAGGGCCCCAACACTCCGCTAAGACCTGTAGCTGTCTGACAATAGACGATGAGTTATTAAAGCCTGTATAATATTTATTCCGAAACATCCGGGCCACCAGGATTCAATGGCACCGAATAACAGAAACCTGGAGAAAAGTTTTCTTATTCTTTCTCTGTGTGTGCTGATATGCTAGCGTGACATAGAGAACAAAACATCACTCATAGCTCCCGGTGGTGGTAATGCACCGTGCCGGAGCAAACAGGTCTAATTCTAAGCAGATAGAAAGAAAACAAATGTGAAGAAAATGAATAAAAGATAGATAGTAGTTTAATTATGTTCTAAGATGAGTCTCGAATGCTTGCAAAATATATATAATAGGAGAAAGGAGAGGGGGCATGCTACCCGATTTGGTAGGCGCATTGCAATGTCCCGCCCTTCTGAAGCCCGTTGTCCTCAACGTCGTTGTAAATCATCGCTATGAGTGTTGAATGAATGTAGTAACAGTAAGATGTATGGAGAGTAAAGCCGAGTAAGCGTCGGCAAAGAGTAAAATGAACGTGCGAATGTCGACGAAGGCTAAAATGTGAGCAGTCGATGAAGAAGAGTAAAGCATACGAGTAAGTGTCGACGAAGAGTAGAAAAGCAGTGAGTAGTTGATGATGAGTAAGGCATACTGTTGACGAAGAGTAAAACGTGCGAGTAAGTAGTGTTGAGCTATCCTTGTTTAGCGGCGCGCAGGGCGTCCTGCACGACCTTCTTGCCGGCTTTATTGTTAAGGTGCAGGGCTATGGCCTTCTTAGTTGTCTCTTCCGCAATTCAAAACGGGTTTAGATTACTTAGTCTATCCGTCAAGGCCGCCAACCGCGTGGCAAGATTGTCAATCTTCTGTTGTATCTCTGCTGCATCTTATATAGTCTTGAGTACGGGACATATCCACGCAGCCACGTCGTCTGCGAGCACCAAAGGGTTGCTACCGGTCGCGCCGGATGGTCCCATAACCGGGTTGCAAAACTCGTGTAGTGTCTTATTAGCGATGAGAGTCACCCTGATCTTCAAAGCGTTCAACAGGGGACTTGATGGTTATTGGATGCTTGGCCTCTATAAAAAAAAGTCTATAATAGCATTCGGGATATCAAAGTTACTCCATTTGGCCTGATCGATGTAGTAGATATTAGCCGGTTGCTCTGAGACAGCTCCAACACCGACCGTGGCAAGGCCATAAACAATTAGCTGTCCGACGGGATGTTTGTAGTCAATGAGCTAACTCTTGCTCTTACGCGCGATGTCGCCGCCTAGCACGTAATATCCGCTGACGACGGACATGCTACCAAGTTGCTCCGTGCCAGAGCAAATAGGTCTAATTCTAAGCAGATAGAAAGGTCATTGGGATTAACAGTCAACTTCTACTCCCTGATTCAGTTTTTAAGAAAGAAGGCTTTCACAAAGGTATAGTTAGTGCCCCGGCGGATTTTGGAGAGTATATAGTTTGGTGTGCTCAGTCAGTAGAGACATCAGATAAGAAGGTCTGTGTCATGGCCGCAGGGGGTAGTTATCATCAGGCCTGATATAGAGGCTGGCGCAAGCTCATTACATAGCAATTTCAATCCATCCCAAAGTCAACACAGTCAGAATGTTCATGAGTATCTACTGGATTAGACAATCAGATGGAGAGTCTGATGCGCCTGAATCGTCCGAATCGTCAGTGCCACGCGGGCCGTCTTGCTGCTCGTGATCATGGATAGAAAGGTTTTTGAAGCACTGCTGCGAGGTGTTCTCAAGCCAATCTCCAACCGGATCATGGTTCTTCGACACCTCGCCCGGAGAACGACGTCGGCCAAAGAGCCAAGGATAATAGACGGGTGTATCTGCAACCGTGCGGTTTATTAGCTCTTTAACGGACGGTGCAGATCGAGCGGGCTGGACTGTCCATATCATCTCCATTCTTGTTGGCAGTAAGGAAGCAAATCGGTAATGCCGGTTTCTGTCAAGTGCAAAGGCCATAATAGCTCGCGTGTGAAGATTTATAACCTCTCTTATAATGAAAGCAGATCATTTAATAATCGAGTTCGTCATT